CGAAACAAAATTCTATTACTCGATGAACAGTAAAGAAAAACAATAACAACGATTAATCAAAATGTCTCCGATTGTGATTTCATTTAAATCGAGAATTAAAAACTCAATCAAACAATTAAAAAGAAAATGAAATACAATCACTTCTCATTTTGATCGAATCCTCAACACCAAATCAGCAAAAATTAAACTTGTAGTTGTTTATTATCTTTAAAAGCGAAAAGAAAAACAATTTGATCAATTTTAATTTAATTTCTTTTGACAATTTAACCAATTGCGAAAAGTTTATTTATTATTATAGCTAATTACAGCAAGTCTCCAAAGACTTTATCATCTTAAAAATGATACTAAGAGTGAGTACAACTCTTTTGGGTGGGTTACAAGTTTGGATTGAGAATAAGGTATTAGTAATATTATTAGTGAGTTTCGATTATATGTTTATCGTACAATTAATCAGTTGTTTGGAGACTTGCTGTATTATTCCTGCGATTCTTAGATATGTTTCAATGTTATCTGTTGTGATTTTATGATCATTAATATTCCAGTGTTCATTTTGATTTTCAGCTACAATTTGGATCAGTTTGTTACACGTAAGACAGTTGTGATTTTGTGATGCATAATTATCACAGCATGGAACTCGAGTGATTCTCAGATTGAATTTATTCCATATTTTTATTATTTTCCAATAGGGAGTTGTTTTGATGAAACCATGTTCGTTTGTGATCTGTTCCTCTGTTGGAAGTTTGCATACCCAAATGTCACCATTTTCCTTCAACCACTGATTATGTTTTATTATTATTTGTTCTTTTACATTTTTTCTCCAGTTTTTTGTTGATATCCATAGGATTTTCAGCTCATGTATTTTTATTGGTGTGAATTCGTTTCTACAGGGTCGACCATATGTCCATTTCCAATTGAATGATAATATTCTTGATAATAATGAGAAAGCGTCTTGAGTGTAATTAGATTTTGAGTTAACTGTAAGATTCATTTGCTGAGGTATAATAATTAGGGGAGTGGGAAATTTGTTACGGTAGGAATATACGACCTGAACATAGATTATTAATAATAACGTTTCCCATTGTGATCTTCTCGTTGTTTTGTAGGCTTCGATGTTGTTATTCACTCCTATTATTATCTCATCTTCTTTGTAGTAATACATAATAGTTTGTTCAAATCGTTGAATTTGGTAACGCTCTATTATTTTCCTCTTTTCTTTTGTATTCGGTATTAATAATAATTCCGGTGAGTCTATTTTGAAGTCATTTACAATGTCCATTTTCTTTCTCTTATGCCATTCTAATGCTAAGAGCCAGTTGTCGATTAGTGGATGAGTGAGACCATAAATAGGTTTGATGTAAGATGATGATATTGATGAGGATTCCAATAATGATAATATTTTATCTGTGTTAGCCAATGTTTTTAAGTAATTTTGTTTGTTTTGGATGAACAAGGAGAAACCAATGGCTTTGAGTTTCGGAAAGATGATGTTTGATATTATTAATCTCTTTACCCGAAATGGTAGACAGATTAGTGTAGCTTTTGTACACTTGAATCGACTCATTATTTCAGCTTCCAGGGTTAGTAGAAATTGTTTAACATCAATATCTCGATATGGGTGAAATGATCGATAACCAGTTACCACCATTGATCTAATATTATCTTTTGTATAGATTTTTGTTTTGTTGATGTTGATTTTTAGGTTAATATTAGCCATTTGAACAATTATCTCATTAATTATCGTCGTAGCGTCTAGTATCGATGGTATCCGAATAATGAGATCGTCTGCATAGGAGATGATATTAATATTTCTTGAGGTTAATGTACGAATAATAGCGTCCAGTGCCATTGAAAATAATATTGGTGATGATGCACATCCTTGGGGGACTCCTTTTGATTCTTCCAATTTGTACCAATATTGATTGTTGTGTCGAACTCGAATAAATCTTTTTGCACAAAAACTTTTTATCAGGTGTGATAATGGTCGATCGACTACCAATAGTCTATCTATCAACGAGTCGATATTGACTTCGTCAAACGCTTTTTCCAAATCTAATAATATTATTGTCGTATTTGAAAGTTTCGTATTAAATAATAATTCCATTATAAATTGTTCACGAGACGAATTTTTTGTGAAGGCATAATGATGATTAGGTAATAATATTGAATCAGTTAAATCGTGTAATTGATATGATATCAAAATATCGATACATTTTAGTAGGTAATTCGGTGCTTTAACCAATCTCACTTGGTTGGTGTCTCTCTTAGGTATGAATCCTCCTCCTAATAATCTAAAAGCTGACGGAATGTATGAAATTTCAAAAACTCTCGTAATAATATTTTTAATAATGACTTCGTTGAGTTTGAAGAACTTGATCCATTTCATCTTTGTGTATCCATCTGCTGAAAGTGATGATTTGAATGAGTCGAGATGTTTTATTAAGTCATACCAGTGTTCGTCGTTAAATTTTCCTTTTTCTAGTTGATAGTCATTATCTCCAAATATCGGCTTGTTTGTTGTAAATCCTTGGAGATGTGATTCAATTGAATTTTTGTATTTCGGTGGAATCGGTTGCTTGAGAATGTTATTCTCATTTGGGTAACATAATATTGATATTATTTTCCAAAATCGAAGTTGTTCAGGTTGATCTTTTTTGTTAATAATTGTTGATGCGATTTTCGTTAATGAATATTTTTTGCGTAGATTGGTTAATTTTTGTCTAAGTGATGGTGAATTATTTCTCTTTATGAGTTTCCTCAATTTTCTAATCGCCCTCGAGGTGGTAGGTTGTTTGTTATTAATCCATTTACCAATTCTTTCAGGATGTTTTATTATTGATAATCCAGCGGTTACCAGTGGTGTATCTTTGTTAATAATATTAGGAATTGGGATCAAGTCCTGGTTAATCTTTTTTACATTGAATTTAAGAATCGGAGTTGGTGGTTGAACATAATTATCTGTTATTAGAATCGTCGTATCCAGAATCAAATGATCATTAACATTTACTCTCAAAATTCGTGATTTTAATATTGTTGTTGTTTTCGGTACCAGTATCGCATCAATATAAGTAAAATTTTCGTTTTTTGTGTATGTGTAATTTTCTTCCACCGGTGAAAATACAGATTTATAGTAATCAAGAGCCATTGGACAACTTTGATGTTTATTAATCCGTGGTGACCATAGTTCATTTTCCATATTGAAGTCCGACATTATTATTAATGGTGATTTGATCTGTGATAGTTCACTTTTCAGAAGAGTCCACCTTTTCTCTTGTGATTTTTTATTAACCGGCATGTAAACGGAAACAAACGAATAGAGTCTTCCAAAATGTTCAATTTCAATTCCAACTGAATTTTTTGTTTTTAATTTTAGATCTTTGACTTTATAATTTGATGACACACAGATCGCTGTTTGGCCATTAACGAAAATATTAAGGGTTTCCCATTTCAGATAATTAATATTATATATTTGTTGATTTGTTGAAAGAATGTCGAATAATTTATCTGATATAAAGGTAGATGGTGTTTCATTTAATGATATTATTATTTTATCATTTTTTAATGAGTTTAGTAACTCTTCTGTTTGGTCTCTACGTTTACCAGTGTTCCAATGTACTAATTGAAACATTTTGTGATTAATAAACAAAATTAATAAACAAAATTAATAGTCACTTAGTTAAAATAATTTTAAGGTTAATAATTTTTGTTCACAAATAGAATAGAATTTGAGTTACTTTTCTATTCGTAATTTATTAATGTTCCCTCAACGTTGCTATGGTAATTATTGTTCTAAATTTATTAGCGTTATTTTTGAATCGCTTTAATTTTGTTTCGATTGTTTAATTGTTTCAACTTTATTATTATTAATTGATCTTTATTTTTTTTTTTTTTGAATTTTATAAACTGTTGCTGATAACATGAAGATCTCAATGGAACAAATTATTAATAAGGTGTTGGGTGGAAAATTTAAGTGTGGGTTGTGTAATTATTTGGCTCTTGATCCAATGGTTCATGACGGTGGTAACAGGCGGAGATTCTGTACGAAAATTTATTGTAGCACTTGTTGCTACCCTTATTCCGATGTTTCTACTAATCAATTTTTTAATAATAAAGCTCGAAAAATGGAGGTTAAGTGTCCTGGTGCTTGTCCCTTTGATTTTCGGGATCCATATTTTAGGTATTTGAGTGTCATCGAACGTGAGCTTTATGAATCAATTATTATTTGTTGTGAGAAATGTAATAATAATTTTGGGTTGAAAATTTTTCATCAACATTTTCTCTCCTGTGGTAAATCCAATGTTCCCAAAACGACTCAAGTGAAAATGGATCAATTCCTGAAACCTAATTTCGATCAATTGGCTTTAAAGCGAAAGGAGTTGCAGTTGATCTGTAATAATAATAATAATGATTTCAAGTTATTCTTTTATGAAGATTGTATTGATTTGGTTCATCTTAATGTTCGATCTCTTATTGATCTTCCTCAATTTCAAGTAGATCAAAAGGATAAGACAGAGAAAGTTATAAATTCAATTCGAACAAGATTAAATATTAAGAGTGATCTTGACCTTGTTTGGGTGGAATATCGATGTGCAAGCCAATATGAGACTATTGGTGGGTTTCTCCGAAGTATTCCGGTTGAGTCAATTATTAATATGATTCCAAAACGGAAGGAAATTGCCATTAATGATCGATTAATGAAGATTAAATATTTGGGAAGTTTTGGTGGAAAGAAGGATTGAATCAAATTAAATGAACTAGAAATATTATGAATAGAAAAAAAAATTATTAAGAAAACTGTAATCAAAGCAAAATTTGAAGATTTGAATCAATATTATAATCGAACCCTTATTCAAATCATAATCGAAAAGAGAAAATTTAAATCAAATTGTAATCAAAGAAAGAAAGTCTAAATCAAATTGTAATCACAATATTAATCACAATATTAATCAAATCTATTAGATGAATAGAAGATTTTGTAACTGATCATCATTAATATTGATCAATTAAACTTTGATAATCCATCTATATTCATAGTTAATTAATTGAATAGCCTCTCTTAATTTCTTCTGGTAAGTGGGACAATCCCAGTCATCAGCTGAATGTTGATAATTTTTCTGTGATCCTTTACAATTGATGCAATTGTACAATTCTGGTTTATTAATATTAGGACATTCTCGCCATGCATGTAAGAGTGAACAGAGTTTGCATCGTTGTTGGGCTTGACAGTGTTTTTCTCGATGTTGATAAGAAAAGCATCTTGGGCATGATGTTACCGTGAAGTAATCAGCTATTTTTATTTCATTACCGAGGTAATAAATTACTCCTCGTTTTTCATGAATTTTATCTCTGACCGATGGGGAGACTGTTATAATAATATCAATATGATTAAGCAGATTTGATGTGTACGCCGCATCAATTGAATAGTCACCAGCTTCATGAAGTTCAGCGGTTTGCCAAATATTTGTTATCATATTTTTCATTGCCTCCAAATCGGTCAAAGATCCTTCATATTTAACTCTAATAAGTCTTATTTTTGGGTCAAAGACTTTTGGTTTCAGGATTTGTAACTCGGGAAGCCATTCTTTCAACTTTGCCATATTATTTTTTCGAGTCAAATTATCCGGTGACTTGATACGAAGAGCATCTTTACCTGTGATAAATGTACCAATTATCGCCGGAAGTTTACCTTGTTCAATATTTTTTATTATGGTATCTCTTATTTCAGCTGGTTTAAGAGATTCATGTTTGATTAAAAATATCGGCTCCATTAAGAAGGCAGACCAGGGTTTCCATTGGCTGGGAATGGGCATTTCTTCCTGTTTGTAGACCGTTTTTCTTATCTTTTTTGTTGTATCATATTCAATTTGAATATTCTCCCGATGTAGATTAAAATTAATAAATTTTCTTTTTAACGGGTTAACATAAGCTGGTCTCGGGTTTTGAGTATCTTGTTCATTGTCACGAATAATAATAGAGCTTGAAGTTGATGGTTGGTTCATGGTTGATGATTGATTGGAGGTGGATGGTTGGTTGATAGTTTGTTGATTGTCTTTCCTGGGGTTTCTTTCATAGTTCTTTTGTATTATTGGTAAATTTGGGTCGTTTACTTCATCTTCTTCTTCTTCTTGTTGATTAATATTATTATTTAGATTCACTATTAGAATTTCTGGATCCAATTCTTGTAGTGTATCCAAAAAATTGATTTCTCTTCTATTAATATCATCTGGACGATTGATCTTTTTCAACCATGACAATATAAATTTCATTTTATATTGGGTAGTTAATCCAAGGGAATATTGTCGGAGAATATCAGGTGATTGAATGGCTTTAAGAGAACTGTAACCCATTTGGAGAATATCTGATAACGGAAGTTTTTTCAATTGTTCATTGAAGTCTTGACGTGTAACCAATTTACGACGGAGGTCGTTTTTTAGAGTTTCAAATTCTGTAGACATTTTCTAAAGAAGATAAATTGTAATAATATTATTAGTTATAAGATTGAATAATTTGCACGTTGGGTAACGGAAACGGAAATGTTATGTCATGAGATGTATGGCTTAGAGCCCCAATATTATTTTTCCTATTTTTTTCTTTTATTGTTTTACTTACTTGGTATTTTTTGATTTATCAAGGTTCTTGAAGGGCTTATAATTGTTAATTTAACACTTTCACTTGTATTTATTTATTTAATTAACTGTTTTTAATCACTGAAATTTTTAAGAAAAATCACTAGTTTAATCGATAAAATGAGAGAACGGATTAGGGCGCCATCTCCATTTCTCCGGAAGAACTTGAACATTTTCTCTTCTGTTTTTTTTTCTTTTTTGTTTTGATCAGAAATTTAATTCTTTTCTCTTTGGTTTCCGCTTTTTTCTTGTTCTTTAAACGAATTGATTAATTTGTTTTCTCTAATTACTTAGTTACTTATTATTGTTTATATGATTTGTTGATTTCTTTTTTCGTGTGTTTAGTTTGATGATCAGTGGAAATGTTCCCAATCAGCCATAAGACAGTAATCGTTTTGGACAATAGTTATCGCTTCTTGTCCACCTCATGTGGTCAACCCATTGATTATGATGTTTGCCTTAAGATGAAAGGAGGAGCTCCTCCAGGTATAATTCCGTTAGCACCTTTATCTAAATCTTTGTGGACCTGTTCAGTTGAAGCTATTCAAGAATATTCTCGTATTGTTTATGATGTTTTCCCTGGAAGCGAGAGACTTTTATCTCTTGTAACCTGTGATGAGGTTGGATTTAAGATTGTCATGGGTTGGAATAGTGAACATCAAAATATAGCTCATCTGAATTCTTGTTTTGCTCGTAGTAGCTTTCACACCAGACCTTCAAGCTCATTTTCCCGTGGATCTGAACCTATTTGGACTGAAGATTCAACCCTAAGTAATGGCGTTAAAGCTGCTATTGAAGCTCTTGGTACACCAACAGTAACTCAAACCCAAATACGTGGTAAAAACCCTCGAGAAGCAAATTCTGGACGTGTAATGTTAATTGCCTGTTTTAAAAATGAGAATCAATTGAAATATGTCTCTGATTTTATGGCAGATTGTCTCAACAGGTATAATAAAGCCATGAGAGAGAAAGATGATCCAAATCGTTTACCAATAAATGAATGTCATCTTACCATTGTCAATATCTATCCCGTTGGTGATCTTAGTCCATCAAGTCAAATCAGAGAAATTGCCAATTTCTATCCATCACCTATTCTATCATGTGAAATACATTCATCTCGAGGAGGAACAATGTTTGCACTCAAATTACTCTCTTTGGTTCAAAGTCACTATCATTTGGCATCAACAACAGTTACTGGTATTCCTATGAAGGAGGAACAGAACGCCAGTTCTTCAGCTAATTATGATGTTGAAATTGTTCATCCAGCTGATGCTCATGTTAATTTACCCAAAATTGCAACCGGAGCCGGAGGTGGAGATGGATCTTGTCATCGAATTCCAAAAGAAGATGCCAACTATGAAACGATACCATTGAAATGGTGCACACCAAGAACGACATCAGTTGAACTTCATCACTGTAGTAGTGCTTACAGAATTTCTCCTGTTGATGTTAATAGTAGGCCTTCTTCTTGTTTAACAAATTTTCTTCTAAGTGGACGAACAGTGATGCTCGAGATGACCAAACTAAAAGGGTCCAAAGTTATGTCTCACATGTTATCAAGTCATAACGGGGAACTTTATATTCACACATTGTATACTGGTCGATCATTATTGGAAGATCCACCATCAATTAGTGAAGGAATTGGTGGTAGAATAACAGATTATCGTATAAATGATTTTGGTGAACTAATGAAACGAATTAAATTATCTCCAATTAAACCATCAATGATTTCATCTGAGAAAACTGTTTCTCCAATTGACAAAGCCATGGGATATTTAACTCGACAAACATTATATTGGCCAATTGTTCTTGGTCATTCAATTATGTTCAATCTTCAACTCCACATTGCACCGTTAATTAATTTAATACCCAAAGATCAGTTGACCGTGGAAGATGTTAATGAGTGTAAAAATGCAATCTATCAAATAGTAAAAATGGAAAGCAAAGGAACATCTTTGGTATTACCTTGTGTAAGTGCTCGAGGAAAAGGACCGAAAAAAGAGGAATTGTACAAATTACTTTGGAGGGAATTAGATCATTACATTGAAATTTACGCATCTACACCTCAACACAAAACAATCCTTTCAACTCTTCGTGATCTCCATGTAACATCATCTAACTCTGATCCAAATCAATCAGTTAAATCTGAGCCAATGTCACCTAATCGTGCTACTAGTCCATCTAGTGGAGATAAACCAATAAACAATTCTGTCATCATTCCGCCTCTTCAACAACAATCAACTCTATCATCAATGCCAACCTTCAATGTTTCCGGACTTAAAGATGAATCTACAATGGCCTGGAAAGAATTGGATGCCTACAATAATATGAGCGAACGAGAAAAACGAGAATTAGACGAGAAAAGTAAACCACCAGCAAAACGAATGCGAATCCCTGATATTCAAAGTCCATCAGATTCAAATTCATCAGCATCAATGGTCGAAAATCGGACCAATGGTTCATCATCAACCGTAGAGAGCAAAATATCAAATGGATCAACATCGAACCAAAATTTACTCTCTATTTGGGTTAATCAACTAAATTCTAAATCTCGTAAAAGACAAGATCTTGATGGTAGATCATTTAAAATTGCTCCTCTCTATGTTAATCTAAATCATCCGATTGAATAATCAACACACAAATCATTTGATCATCTGAATCTACTCTAGTTTATTTAAATCATCTTTTTTTTTGTCAACAACTTGTATATCAAAAGATAAACATAATTTTTCATGTTAACTCTGTCATAACATTAAAATGAGAAAAACACAATCAAAGAGTGAGTGAGAAAACGACAAATTAACAATTAGTCGCTTTCAGGTTTTTCGATAACTTCATAAGATGGAAATTTAAGTTCAAAGGAACCATGAAAATCGATGATTCGATTAACAAGCGAAGGCCAAACAGCGTCGTAAACAACCTGAGCTCCTGCTCGATTAAAGTGAAGTCCATCATAGAACAAAGATCTCGAATTCGGATGTTCTTTCGTGATCTTATTAATATCAACACATTCGACTTCGAGTTGATCGGCCACTCGTTTAACACCAACACTGTACTCGTCAGGAGTACGAGTACCATTTTCCTCACTCGAATCTTGATGATGATAAACGGGAGGAGTTAATAGAATAATTTTTTTACTCGAAATCCCTTTCGATTTAAGATGAGTAATAATCGTTGTCAGATTTTTCTCAGTATCTTCTAACGGTACATTCGGTCCATAAGCGTTGGTAAAACAATCGTTGGAGCCCAAAAGGATAATAACACAAGAAACTTTCTCGAAATTTTCGTTAGCAAATAGTTCGGGTAATATTTTCACTATTCCTCTAGTGGAATAGCCAGAAAATCCTCTGGAAAGGACATCGCTTACTCTAAATGAAGAAAAGGTTACATTAACGTTAATTGTTACAATTAATTCTTGTTCTTGTTTTAAAAAAACTGACCTTTGCAAACTTTGGGCCAACATCGATCCCCAACATCCGTTGTAAACATCAAACGAACCCTAGAAATTGAATTAATTAGAGTTCATGAAATGGAATCATTTTAATTAAATCGAAACTTTAATTACCTGAGTTAAGGAGTCACCAATTAAAATCACATTTGACCAGATTGGATCAGCCATAGTTGATTAAATTGCAATCAATGAAAATTCAACACTGATTCAAACAATCAAATGTTAATTGTTTCATCAATTAACAGACTAATCAGTTTAAATACAAATTTAAAAAGCGGATGAAAAACTAAAAATAGTAACAACATCATCTAAATGACAATTATAATTGTCGTCGCTCTGATTTCATGTTTTAACTTTGATTAACCTTTGGTCTGATTTAGTTTATTTGGCTGAACTGGATTAAAACGAATCCATTGACCAGCTTTTTGTTAATTGTTTCATAACTGATCGCTTAATAGAGTAACAATAATCTATTATCAATGGTTTACTTATTGTTATTTATGGATTTGGATAATAATTGAATGAATTCAATTTGATTGATTGATTTGATTCGATTCGATAATTGATATTAGATAATAAAATTGAAAGTCGATTCAATTTTTATCATTGCCTGGTGTTAGTTGTCTGGAAGATTAGTTTTGTTGATAATTATTGATTTTTACAGGTGATTTATGTTGATCAACAATTAAATGCAATTAATTACAGACTAATTAATGTCGAATGTAGATTGAACAATTGAAAGCTGATTGTAACAATTATCATGATACAATTAACTTCAAGTGCTTTGTACCCACGATTTAGATTTATTAATAGGTGATTTAACTTTCAGACTATTAAATTAATCAGTTTCATTGTTTCAATATAAAACAAAGTACATCGTTTGATAAGATTTAACAATTAGAAAATCTTTTGTTTACAATTAAAATTGATTATTGTAATTCTTTTTCTTTGATTTCCCAAATTGGAAGTTTAATTTCAAACGATCCATGGAAATCAGTAACGCGTTTGACAACCGAAGGCCAAATAGCTTTGTAAAGAAGCTCAGCTCCCGTGCGATTAAGATGAATACCATCATAGAAAAGGCTCCGAGGATTTGGATGCTCGTTAGAAAGTTTGTTCGTATCAACGATTTCAACGCCCGCTTTATCAGCAACTCTACGAACAATTTTACTGTATTCATCTGGATATCGTTGTGGAAGTTTAAAATCATGAATAGCTTGAAATTCATCGAAAAAGAAACAGGTAGGAGTTAACATGATGATCTTTGAAGTGGGAACTCCCTGTTCTTTAAGATAGGCTAAGATAGCGGTCAAATTGTCTTCAGTTTGGTCTTTGGGTACATGTTGAATACTCGTATTATCACAAGCATCATTTACACCGATGAATAAAATGATACAAGCAGCTTGATCGTAATCATCTTTACTCAATATATCGGGCAAAACATTCCTAATTGATCTTGAAGTGTAACCACTAAATCCTCGAGTAACAACATCACTAATTCTATGATCAAAGAAAACATAATATCAAAAATAAATTAAATTTGTGTACAAATGCAAGTATCAATTTCCACTTGCAAAATTAATCATGATAATAAAGACAAACAAACACTTCTAATAAACTTGAATGAGATTAATGATGATAGAATTGGATAATTTTACTTTTAACGATCGGAAATTATGACTTACCTCTGTAAACTATTGGCTAACATGGATGCCCAACATCCAGAATCGGGATTAAATGAAAACTATGAAAAAGTTATGAAAGAAAAAAAAATTAACATTAGAAAAAAGTCTCGGAAGCAAGAAACCAAATTAAGTTTATCAGTGCAATGTCCAAACAGATAATTAGATAACAAACAATTTGTAATCAAATTACACGTTCGAAAATACCAAGTGATTGAGTAAAAGAAAAAAAGAACAAAGATTCCATAGAATTACAACAACTTTGATTGACATTCAATCAAAGAGTAATCACTAAGATTAAGCGGGACGAGAAGCAAATTTTTTTCTTTAAGCAATCAAACATGTCATCAATCACTTTGAATTCAACCATCACCATGACCAAACAAGAAGATGATCAGAAACAAATAGAATTAAAGCAAAACAAAAAAAAACACCAAAAAAAAATCGAACAAAATAAAACAGTTAATTAAACTAATCAACCAAAGAAAAAGAAACATTAGAATAGAAAACAAGAAAAGAAAATTCATTTAATTTACCTGAACCAATGAATCTCCGATCAGAATAACTTTAGACCAAACTGGTTTAGTCGCCATAGTTTCTCCAAAATATGATTAATCTCTAAATGGAGCGAGAAAAATTGAAATAATTAACCAATTAATTAGAAGAAAAGAAAACACAATTAAAAGAGAAAAATTTTTGTTCTTTTATAAAAAAAATTCCAAAGGGGGAGGAGAAAACGAGGGAATGTTAACTAATTACACTACATACGAAATCTTGAAATGGAGAAGAGGAAGAGAGAAGTTAATTACTTTTCTATTATTTTAACTCTTATCACTTATCAATTTCCAATTAATTAAACACTACACACCTTATTGATTGTTCTCCATTCGATTGAGATAAATTCGTATCATTGAAGATTAGAAGTTAATCTGATTGAATTTCTCTTTTAATGAACAAAGGGTAAGACGCTTTATTTTTTGTTCTCTTCTTCTTCTCCCTTTGTCTCAACTGTAATCACGTTTTCTATTTTCTTTTAATTCTCTAACTAATCTAATCTATATGTGTATTTGTTTTCGATTTTGGCTTGATTAACCATATTAATCTACTCATTCAGTGTATCAACAATTATGGATCATCTTCACCACCACAGGAACAATTATCATGGAGAAGAGCAGATTTTCAATGGACTATTGTTTTGTGTTTATATTTTATTGGTGGCGATTCAGTTGTAATCAACCTAATGGAGATCTTTTTTTTTATATACTCTAATTGGTTAGCAATTGATTAGATTTACATGGCAAGTTGAATAATAGAATTTGGATAAAGAAGAAAGAAAATTACAAAAATCAAGCTGTAAATTCTGTAAGTGTATTAACTCAGCAAATCAAACATTGGATTGGATAAAGTTAACAGGTTCTTATTATCCTTTTTCACTTTTCTCTCCTTTCAATCTGCATTTATTAGGTTAAAATGAATGGAAATGAATGTGTTAAATCTAGTGAATTAAATTAACTTGTGTTCAGTTAAATTAACATCAACATAATCTTAACCACCACCGTCACCATGAAGAAAACGATCAAGAATCAACAACTGTAACTATAAGAATCTAATGGAAGCCTAACAAAAATCAAATGGAACATTTTAAAATTGCTTGGTAACTGATTATTCACTTAATAATTATGGTTAATGATCTTTAATTATGATCAATTTAATAGTGATTATCATGTTCATCAAACTGTAAGTATAAACAAACAAAAAAGATTATCCTTTTAGCTTGATTTTCCATTGGGAATATTATGTCTTTTTCCTTTATATTTTATGTGGTGTATTAGATGTGATAGTTAACTAGTGTTAAATGATTTTTTTAATCATCTTAATTAACCATTAATCAACTTTTGCCCCATAATCACACTGAAATTGATTAACTTTTCTCTCTCTCTTTCTCTCAGACTTATACAGATTTCCACCATGATGATGATGATGATAATTCTGAGATTAAATGAACTTTCCAAATGAACAATTAGTTGTGTTTACGAGATTTAAATTAAATTGACAAACATGAACCAAAAGAGGCAACTAATCAATCCTTAAATCACATGATATTCAATGCAACAATTAATGAAGAAACAACAACAATTTGTGTAACTATCAACATCGACCAAGAAAAGATGATCCATAGGAAAACATTTCCCTTTCCTTTAACCATGATTATTATTGTTGTTGTTACAATTAACATGATATAATGATAGCAGTTTATTTAATTTATGTCCTTGTTTCATAATTAACATTTTCCCTCCTCTCCTCATCATATTAAATCAAGAAGGACACTAACACATTGAGCCTAAACACATTCACCAAAGTAGTATACCAATAACAACAATCAAATTAAACAGTTAATCATTATGTTTAATTATGACAATTATAATGTGGATCATCAGACTAAATTTGTTGATTGAACAATTTCATGTCTTCGTCTTCCTTAAATCATTATCAACCATTAACACCGATCATAATTTAAACTACATATCACTTTACACCATCTCTCATCTTAATTAAGTTAACAGGATAATTAATTACAATTATATTAACTATTAACTTTTTTTTTCTCATATATTTTTCCCCAGTTTTAACACCAAAGAAACAAAAGATTCACACAATCTCAATGTAATTAATATATATTATTGTACCCGCAAGGAATCAACAAGAAAAACTGTCAACAATTAACTGGAATCAACAAGTAATTGATATTGAGCTGTGATTAACCGTCAACAATCAAAACAATGATGAAATTGAATGGCCGATAATTAAAAGCAACACAATCAAACATAATCTGGGGAATGTTATTATTACGTTCAATATTGATTGAGATGTTGATAGGTAATGATTATTTCTTAATCTAATCCTTGAAAAGCTTAACTGTTCATCGTTGAGTAAATGTTGTTACTATTTGGAACTGAATTTGTCCATGGAAACTGACAATGGTTGAAATTTACTTTTCATCCTTTAACATCATCTTCATCTTTTCATCTTTTCATCCTGTTTGCTGTATCAATTGAACCATCTTTCATGATGATCACGAGGATGATCCTCGAAGGCTTTACTCTCCCTCTCTCTTTCTCTCTCTCTCTTCGTCTATTCATCTTCAAGTGTCACATTAGAACTTTGGAAAAGGAAAAGAATTACCTTTTAAAAAGTAAAAAGAAACTTTTTTTTTTCTCTTCATCATTTCTTTCCAATAGATTTGGACTGACTCACCCTCTCTATCATCATCTTACCTGATCGTCATCTTTTTTTTCTGGTATCACTTGATTCAAAGGAACCAGAAATGTTACGAAAAAAATGTTAACCAGAAATTCACCTGTAAACTGATCATCTTTATCATGATGATGATGATGATGATTTAATGATAAACCTTAATGATAATCTTTTTGCTTGGATTTGAAAATGAGAAGCAAAAGTTTTCTTAATCTTCTATAATCCAATTATTTGGTTTCGTCCTGTTTTCTTTTACCATTTTCGCCGTTGAACTTTTCAGGTCACAAATTAAAGGAGTGTAACAATTAACGACGACAATTAGAAACAATTGAAACTTGAGTATGAAAAATGAATCAATTTAATTGGTAATGGAAACTTGAAACAATCAATGGAAGAAAACAACGAACGTCAAGGAAAAGGAGAAGAAGAAGAAGAAAATATCGACAGGGAATTCGGATGAAAAAGTTCTGGAAGATAATTCAGTGGGATATGCGCAAATGGAAACCTATGTAAACGAAAGAGACCAAAGACAGAGAAGATGATGATGATAAAATGGATGATAAAAGAAGATATTTCTTCTCAATTTGATATAATATTATATTATTATAACCAGTTTTGTCCAAATCAGTTTAAGGTTAACGTGAACACTTTTCACATTTTCTTGTGATTCATAATCGTCACAATTAAATAATTGATAATTAATTTCATCGAGCATCATTTTCACAATCAACTCTAGTCTAATCATCACAATCATTAACTTTCCATCATCATCATCATCATTATCATCTTCATCATCGCCAATCATCATTAACTTTTTCCTCTCTTTTTGTTGATTGTTACATTTCTAATTTTTTCCCCAAGTATATTCCCTTTAATTGTCACCAATTGAATTAATTTAAATTGTTAAGTTTTTTCCTAAATACTAACAAAAAAAAGTCAACTAAATTTTTAAACAATTTAATGTAAGTTAATCAATTTTTATAACCATTAATGTATTGGTGTATTTTCTGAGTGTATTGGTGTTTACAATTTAAATTGTGATTACAATCAATTGGAAAACATATATTTAAGGAAAAGACCAGTTAAGTGCTTGTGTTAATTAAGTTAATTGTTTTCTATAGTGTTAACCAAATTGATAGAAAAGTAATTGTGAAAATCAAAAAATCAATATTGATCATTATTATTATTTAAATGAACATTTATCACCAACAATTTTCATCAATTGAACTTAAATCATAACCATGAACAAATTGGATTAGTTTTAGATTAAATTTGGATTATAATTCATTCTGATTGTCATCATCATGAAATTTAATCGTAAGTAATTTAAATTTAGATAAATAATTAACTTATAATAACAATTGCAACGCATCCTAATCAACATGTTTATTCCGATTGATTGTTAAAACTAAATCAACACTCGTTGAAAAAAAAACAAAGTCAAACAATCAACAAATGATGAGCCCCATTAACCACGATTGTTACACTGATTAAACTATAGGATTGGGGATGATGATTTTCATTCCTATAACAATTAACTGATCATTTGTGTGTATCATGATGATGAGATTGTTCATCATCTTGTTGATTGTCTTTTGGTAACCACGTAATGGCTCATTGAACCTTCATCCAACGGAAGTTTCAATTAAATCACTCACCCGGAAGTTTCATTATTGACACAATCAACAAGAAGATGAAGATAAAGTCTTATTAGCATCTTTAATCATCATCATCAGAACATTGAAAAGAAAATAAAAGAAAATCTAATTTTCGATTCTCCAGATTCATCATCTTACCTGATTAAACTCTTGATTATCTCATGTATATTTACCTTTTGATTGAACAAATTTAATCTCATTTACAATTAAATGAATAATAATAGTGAAGATGGACAATCGATATCGAAACCCTTTAGTGTCCATTCAATCATAAGAAGATGAAGATGAAAAGTTTAAGGTAAAAAACCAAAGACCCAATGGTCACCTAGGAAATAGTAAAAAAAAAAACACTATTGACCATTCATTAAGATTTTTTTCTTTTTCATAAACTGGCCTTTGGTCATCTTACTTGTGTCAATATTTTTTCAACAAACTTGGAGATGATGAAGATGAAATATTGACCAGTGTCTCTGGTCATGGTAAAAGGTGAAAGTGTAAAATCATCTCAAGAGGTTTACATATATAAAACACCAGAATCTTGTCAATATTGAACATCTTCTAGTATCATATTCCAATCGGATGATTTATCATCTTCATCTTCATCTTGATCATCATAATTATTACAAATCGTTTTGATAATCAAATCGAAATGGAAGAGAAAACTTTTTTCTCTAATAAATTAATTTCTCTGGCTTTTAATTGATATTAACACCTCAAGTAAACAAGATGAAACTGTTTGATTAACACAATTTAACTTTAACCGTTGAAATTTTTCACCACAATTAACTTTTAATGATTGATGGTGGTTATGATTAGTTGTATTAAGTGATTAGTTAGAAAGGTAAACATCATTAGTATCATTTTTATTAATTGTTAACCACTAATTAACCTTTATCACCATAATCACAAAGTTTCATCTTTCCGGACTTTCATTAAAAATCAATATTATTATCATCATTCAAGTTGATTAATCATTTGAAATTAATTATTATAACCAAATTTTCATTGTGAATCCAACATATTCAACTAATCAAGATCATTATCCATCTAATGATAACAATTAACTCCCTGGGAGGATAAAAAAAACAAAGTTAATAAAGTTATCATCATCATCATCTTCCTGATGATGATGATAAAAAATAATGACGCTTGATAATAATAATAGTAATAATAAACTCCAATGTTGATATTAGCTGATTGTTTAATTGCGATCAACATTCAATAATAAATATGATATTATTATGATTGAGTCAATAAGTGTTGAGTTATTATTATCATCGAGGTAAACAATTTAATGCTAACAATTTACTGATAGTAAATTGTTATATTATTGAATCATAGACATCAAAACATAATCATATTGTTATTAAGATGATGATGATGATGATGATCAGGATGATGATTAGGATGAAAATAACGAGGTTCAATAGTCTTGACCTCGAAAATATCAACTTTCTTGATGGGAAAAAGTTTCCAAGCCTTTTATCATCAATACTTGATAATTAGCGGGTTGATTCAGTTGATTAAATCATCATGATCATGATAATGTTTGTTTCAGTAGCTGATTGTAAGCTAATTGTATTTATATGATTAGTTTTCATTAACTTGGTTCCTGATCTTTGTTTATCTTATTGTAAATTGTTGAAAATTGATTAAATACTTTAAACCATTTGATTCCCTTGGTATTATGTTATCTATCCTTATTGATTAACTGGATTAACTTAAGCTAATCCTAATTTGATTGGGATTGTGATTAACTTTGTTATTTATTAGCCCAGGGAAATGAGTCAATATCACATTGAACTGGAAACAGAATTAATTTGATTTCATTTATTTTCCCTTCACTTGATAATATAAATTGTCTATTATTAAGTTAATAACAATTTTACCTGATTATCAAGATAATTTGAATGATTATCGATAACAAAGTTAATCATATTCAAGGTAAATCAGTTTCTTTATATAAAATTAATAATATTAATCACTTGTTATCTTATTAGGTGTTAAAATTGTAATTGAATGTTCAACTAACAGTTAGGATAACGGATACAATTAAGATGATCAATCAGATAAGAATCAAATTGAATGAACAGTTTCAATGTTTCATGAAACTCATTGTGTTCATCTTCATCTTATTCAGTAGATATTTTTTTCGATGCTACTGTTGTCATCCTTGTCTTCATCCTCATCCTCATATCCTCTTGTTAGTTAGATTTTGAGGATTGTTACTGAAACTGTTTTGTTATTCAACTGAATTGCTCATGTTGATGATGAGGATGAAGATTCAGGTTACTGAGATAAAATTCATAGACACAAACCTTGTCTCTACTTGTTAGTGACATGCAAAGAGATGAAGAAGGATGAGGAAGAAGATGGATAGGGAGAGGGAGATGATATGAATATAAGGATATTGGACATGGAGGAAGAGCAAGATGAGGTGGAAGAGAAAAGATTATATTGGATATACATAAGATTCTGAGGGATTTTGAATATAAAGGGACAGAAAATGGAGATGATGAACTGAGCCAATGCTGATGAGAGAGAGAGAGAGAGAGAGAGAGAGAGAGAGAGAGAGAGAGAGAGAGAGAGATGATATTATTAGAAAACATGATTAGAAGACAAAAGAAAAGGAGAAAAAATTACTGATCGGATAAACTGATTTCTTTTGCATTTATTTTCATTATAACTTAATTCTCATCTTCATCCAATTCTTACCATGTAATTTCATTCAGATTTCAACAGAAATATAAAATATCACATGTAATTGTTTCTCTCTATTTTTAGCTGGTTGAATCGGTTTGCTGTTTATTGATGATCAATTTTCACAATCAAAGCTAAATTGTAAATTGATTGTCTATCTGTCTTTCTGTTAAGGTAATAATATATAACCATGATCATGATAAATTCAGGGAAAAAAATGTTGGTTGATTATATTGATGATATTTACACAATTTACCGATAATAGACTTGAATATAACTCGATAAATTTTTTCCCTGAGTTCATGTTTTTGTTATCATGGATTTTGGGTTCAGATATAAATCTGTTTATCATGTAAATGTTGGAATTGTCAGTGATGATGATGATCATGAGCATGAGGGGGGAAAAATGATTCGAAATGGTAACACCAAACAAATGAACATGAATTCCCAAGATTATCATTAAATATATTTTCTTGTGTTTCTTTTTGTCTTCAAATTCACAGGATAAGAAATGATTTCAATATTTAACATGATGATGATCATTATCATTGTCTAAATGATGATAAATTTAATGATTTCATGGTGATTTCTGAGTGATGGAGGTAAATTATACCTACAGAATTTATTTATATATATATAGAATTTCATTCCCAGAACAATTCCAAGTCTGGAACTTTGCAAAATCAGATTACCAATGAATTGAAATTGAATCAAGTTAATCTTTTTTTCCATTGACAATTGAACAGACAGAAAGAAAAGTTTCTCGTGATAATATATTGATAACTCGATGATTTGAACTCAATGGATTAGAATCTATTGTCAATAAGATTAACCCAATTGCGATAATCAAAATGTTATCCACTGGAAGGATAAAAAAATTATCCGAGAAATTAAATCTCGATATCATGGTAAATGATCAAGAATTGATTGTTACCTGAATAGATTTAAATCAAATGTCTACAGTTATGTAACCACGATGAACTTTACTGAATCATGGTGATATATATGAATATATATCAGGCTGGATGAAAATGGAACAACAAATTTACATGGAAACTTTTTCTTCTCCTCATCATCATCATCATCATCATCTTCATCATTTTCTGAGGTTTAACTGAATTTACATTTACATAAATTATAATCTATTAGATTGGTAAATAAAACGATATTATTTTTAACTTCCTCTTTCATTACCATTGAATTTTGAGTAAGAATTTCTTTCATTTTCTACCTGGTTACTTCCGGTTCAAGAGGTTTTGATTCATCAGATTTTTGCATTTAAAATCAGAATTATCATCATCTTTACATAGGAAATCATATCAACATCATGAACAGTTTTGTATTTATATCATGAAGATGAACAGAGAAATTTTTTTTTAATCTATTCAAACATCAAATATATTGAATTGATGATGATGTAAACATATGATGATGATGATGATGAGGATGAGGATGAGAAAGGAAAAGGAAACAAGTTGGATTATTTTATCTTTCTCTCTATGTAATCATTGAGTTAACCTTTGATTGAGAATCAAGTTAAAAATTTAAATTAATCATCAACAATTGAGATGAATTTTAATTTACATTATGTTTACCGTTGTCCTTTTCATTTCAATCAATTCAACTGAAATCCAGGAAACGGAAATGATGAAGAAAAAAATATCTACTAGAAATTTTGATTTTACCAATTCAACAAACAAACAAAAAAATGACTCTGATTCTTGATTATAATTGATTAAACTCAATTAAACGGAAATACCATTGATTGTAAATCAATTAATCACAATTGTAAACAAAACTGTTTACCTAAATTGTTGATATAATGAAACTTTTTTTTTAATTATTTGATTTGTGATCAGAAATCAGAAAGATACTCAAATTTTAAGGATTACATGAAAACTTAAACTGATTTCAATCAATTGTAAAATCATGAATCATGGAAATGATCAGAATAGTTAA